GGTTTAAACGCCACTGATCATATGTGACCTTGAAAATGGGTCAATGTCATTCACATGAACAAAATTTCAAAACAAATATTCCATTTATTTGAAAAACTTAGCCCTTTATTCTGCATGCTTTTGGCCAAATATCATCACCCTGGACCTTTTGATTATTCAGAAGAAATTGTTTGAAAGTTAATTGACCCCTGTGACCTCTGAATATAAGCCAAGGTCATTGATCTCAACATGTCATTGGCAAATATTCAGAAGAAGTTATTAAAATATTTCAACATATTTGACACCTGCGACCTAGAACAAGGGCGAAGATATAAAAAACGTAACTCCTAACAAACTTGATAACTCTTCATCCGAGCATGCTACTGGCGAAATGTCATCACCCTAGGCAGGTTTGTTATTCATAAGAAGTTGTTTATTACTTATAGCCAGGTGAGCTAAAAATAAAGTATTTTGTGTTCTTTATAATTTTAAGGTAAAATATACACATGATTTATAACAAGGACTTGTAGGGTAAACCTTTGTACATAACATAGGTTGGCAAAACATTATAATATTTTATGGATCGAAAACCTTATTCTCGTGATTCAGAATGAGAATATAAACAAATAAAGCAAATAGTAGACACAATGCGTCTAACATTAAAAACTATCGTAATTCAAAACTTGAACATCTTATTTCGTTTCACAATCCTTTTTGTCAATAACGTTAACACTGAACAATATTTTGAAGGAAAGAGATTTTCATTCAGTGTTGTATCCAGCTTCTCAGTTAAATATAATGGGCCGGTCGGGTGGCGCAGTGCATAACGCTCTCGCCTTTCACCAAGGCGGCAGACATTCCATTCCCCGAACCTACGTGGAATGGAATGGCGTTCCGACCACGTGAAATTTCTTCAGATACTCTGTTACATTACAGAATAAAGAGCATGGAGAGTTACTTCAGCGGAATATCTTTGCTGTTACTTAGAAGTTTTGAACCGATATAAAGGGCAATCCTTACATCTGGAATCTTTTCGCGATTTTTTTTTTATATAAACTAACACGATCATTTTGCTTTCAAACCAGCTATCGATCTCCCAACCATTCACAATTCATTTAACATAGATAAAGAAGACGAATATTCTAAAAACACCGATCCTCCTCTCGTGTTACCAGTATAACACACGGTTCTCAAGAGATCTAACATCACTGTTCCCAAATCGGGACACTTTTTACATCAATATCAATGTTCTTTATACCACACTTTCAGTAACAAATAATTCAGGCGCGTGGTTCTAAAAATACGTAGGCCCTTGAACCGGCGTTACTGTAACCTGAAAGGGATAATACAGATTTTTGGCTAATATTTGGGGATAAACGATCAATATCAGCAGAAAAGTGTGCATGGTTGAAAAAGTTTAGAATAGAAGAGGGTTCTGATTAAATTTTTTGCTCCAAACTTGCATTAGTTTTGATAAAATAGACTTTGCAAATGATTCACAAAAAAGTAGTGTCGCACGGCACGTAAAACAGGAAAGTTTTGTTTTGGTAATTATTCTTATCTTTAACGTGTTCATATAACGATACTCAGCAGCCAATAAAGCTTATATACAGTTAAATTGTGGTAAAGTTACTATTAAATGAAAACTGTTTGCACAAAAGTACTTCTTTGCATTGCTTGACAATTTCTTGGGCTGTTTTCACAAAAGAGTCCCGTTTTGGGTACAGTGATGTTAGTGTAGTGTATCAAGTGTTGATGTATTATTTACACTTGTGGTTTTTTTTACATTTAATTCCTCAGCAGCAGGTTTCCATCTGTATGTATAAATGAATCTTAATGAGGTATACATATGTACATATAGAGTAAACATAATGGAGGATGTCAGGGTTGAGGGGCGCTGGGTTCAACCCCCGAACAATAAAATTGTCCTCACGCAGGAGGTCTTTCTCGCACCTTACACCTTTTATCCATTTCATGATATTATTTACACTTGTATCATATTGCAGGATATGGATCTTCGAGGCGACTTCCGTGCCTCTGTTAAACCACACGTGTCACTTTCCAGTTTTCAGTTGTATCTTGAGTGGGGCTTAGGATTAAGGTAAAATTCCCCCCGTTCACCTGAGTATCACTACTGGGGGCTATCTATATTTGAGTTGACATTGTTTTACAAACCGGGAAACGGTTCGGCGTGCTTGAGGTGGGCGGTAATGACACGAGTATGGAGCAGGTAGATTTACTAAGTTTTTTTCTCAATAATATTTACAAAGATTGAAAAAGATGTCCTTAGATGCAGACCTTTAAACTCACACTAATATAAGTGAAAAAAATTGTGATGAAAAGAAAATGTATCTATTTATGAGAAGCTGTGTGGTATATCATATATCAAAAACTTTCATTAAATCATCTAAGATATTTTCGAATTCAAATACAGTGCGAGAAATAGCATCCAATGTTTGTTTAAGTATATTTGACTGTGGTTTTCCAAGAGCAGAGAAATCAAGTAGGCCCTCCGACAAAGGATGAGTGTCTATAAGGCCCTTTTTTAGGCCCCGGCATATTCAGATTTTCACCTCCTTATTTTGTTCAAAGATGTCCTATTGTATGACATGCGGAAAAACTAAGGTAAAACTTTAACCGAAAGTGGGTTTCTGGGTTACCAAAAGGGGTAGGGTAAATCACAAATATAGTTTGCTGTTTTCAAAATGAGCTTAAATACCAAAATAATACCACTTCTGTTTTGCAAACATGTATAAATTAGACAAACATATGTAACAAAATGAAAAATGACAGAAATTCAATCGTCACTTAAAGATTATTTATACAAAAAGAAGGATTAAGTCAGGTTTTTTTTGTCATTTTTAATTGAAAAGTAATTTGTTTTCTCAATAATTTCCTTTCTAATTAATTTTTGACTTGAAATTTACAACTTCACTAATTTAAATAGACTTACATAAATTGCATATTGACTACATACATTCCTTCTCTTTTATACGGAGTTATGATTTCTGGGCACATATCAAACTTGGCTATTTCAAATATCTCTCAATTTCAAGTGAATTAAAAGGTGCATGACACCCTTTATATGTTTTAAGTATAAGATGTGTATAGCTAATATTGTATAGTATATGTATCATATAATATTTGCTCAGCAACTGTGGCTGAAGTGAGTCCCAGGTCCTGTGATGTTTTCTTCCTAGCAAAGTTAACTTACATATAAAAAATGACATTTGTCACCATAATTACAGTAAAATGATTTGTTTAATATTTGAATTTTGATTAGCTGGTAATTTTAAGTCTCCTAGCCTCAAGGAAAGAATCTGCGTTAATCGTTAAAGTTAACCGATTTCATTGTTTTATCAAATGTTCTGCCTATTTCCAATGTGTATCCACTGATTGTACATAAAAGGCATTTGGGGATAAGCATGTAACTTGGCATAGATATTAGTTATATGATGATATTTAATTTGTAAAAGTTTCATACTTATCCCACATTGCCTTTTTACTTAAAAACACCCTTTCATGTGATTTGGAGTACAAGGACCAAAGTGCATCTCCTTGCCTAACACCAAATATTTCCTGACAATGCTAGTCTACATGAATGTATGTAGATTAAATAGGCTCAGTAGAGTGTTTATGGTAGTAACACGGGCGTTTGACATGCTACACTGACCAAAAGTCAGATAGTTTATGCTTTGAAAACGTAAAGAGAGACTAAGTTGTTCGTTCAAGTTAATGCTTGCAATTAACAGTTAATCCATTTGTTGATTTCATACGGTTTATTTGTTACATTCAATGCTAGCTGCTATGTGTACCGGAAATAACATAGTAAAGGACATGTGTACCGAAAATAACATAGTAAAAGGTCATGTGTACCAAAAATAACAGAGTAAAGGTCATGTGCATCGGAAATAACAGAGTAAAGGTCATGTACACCGGAAATAACATAGTAAAGGTCATGTGCACCGAAAATAACAGAGTAAAGGGCATGTGTACCGAATATAACATAGTAAAGGACATGTGTACCGGAAATAACATAGTAAAGGACATGTGTACCGGAAATAACACAGTAAAGGTCATGTGCACCGGAAATAACAGAGTAAAGGACATTTGTACCGAATATAACATAGTAAAGGACATGTGTACCGGAAATAACATAGTAAAGGACGTGTGTACCGAAAATAACATAATAAAGGACATGTGTACCGGAAATAACATAGTAAAGGACGTGTGTACCGAAAATAACAAAGTAAAGGACATGTGTACCGGAAATAACATAGTAAAGGTCATGTGTACCGGAAATATCATAGTAAAGAACATGTGTACCGGAAACAACATAGTAAAGGACATGTGTACCGGAAATAACATAGTAAAGAACATGTGTACCGGAAACAACATAGTAAGGAACATTGGTACCAAATATCAAAACAAGTGCATGTGTATTAATACATGTAATAACATATCTGTGTAATCATCTACAAATCCACACTAAAATCTCCTTTTATCTACGTTAAATATTTCATCATAACGTTGTACGTAATACAATTATCTCTTCAGTGGCCATATTTCGGGCGGATCCATATTTGCCAGGCACGCGCCATATCGACTCTAAATACGCTATATCCGTTCCACTTCCGTGACAGTAAGTGAACATTATATATACACATCAGGTATTCCCGTTCAATTAGTAATTTTAAAAATAAGAAGATGTTTTTATTTTTTTGCGGTTAACTTTATGTTATTTGGTCTTATTCTGTTTGTACTGTTGCAGGGATATCCATGTAAAGCATTCCTATATCATATTGCCCTAGTTCTACATGTAAAGCTTTCCTTTATTATATTGCCCTAGTTTTCTCGGCTTTCAGTTCGAGTTATGGTTTTGTTGACACTTAGATATTCTATAGCTGGTTTTTTAAATGATATTTACGTTACTTATAACCATTGACAGCGAGTGCATATGGTAGAACTGTTACCATATTAACTACTTCCACAGCCTAACCCATATCAGCTTTTGACCCATATTAGCACTCGGGTCTGCGGTCCCTCAGGCTGACAAGGACAAAGTTAGGTATGGAGTAGTCAATTTCCATAAAATGTTTGGGGAAATTTAAATCTAAGCTGAATGTTTGTGGAGAAATCAGGCCTGGTGTAGTATAGAGACAATATTTATATATAACATGTGTCCAGAACATATCTCATATCATCTGGCCATTCTAGTTCTCACATTGGTATACGCAAGTTCCTCTTGGAACGTGCCCCGAACTTTACATATTAAGGGTTATTTGTTCACCGTATGTTACTTTGTCAAGAGAAAATAGCGTATGCTTTATTGTCTACAAAGGCCAAAATTTGTAAATAAGAACTACTTTGGATGACGGAGTGTCCCACGATATAATCAGATATCGTGCTACCTATATACAGAATCGCAGTCCTTTGTTAGACATCGGATGTTGGGGTGTCGGGGTGTCGTGGTGTCGGGGTGTCGGGATATCGGGGTGTCGGGGTGTCGGGGTGTCGGGGTGTCGGGATATCGGGTTGTCGGGGTGTCGGGATGTCGGGGTGTCGGGATGTCGGGATGTCTGGATGTCGTGGTGTCGGGGTGTCGGGATGTCGGGGTGTCGGGGTGTCGGGATGT